CACACACACACACACACTGTTCCTTCACTCGTACAGAAAAAAGGTTTCTTTAAATTAAACAAATTCATGCGTTGGAATAATCCAATCAATTGGATGTTTAAATTAAGAATGTGATAATTTGCATTAAAACTAATTTTTTTTATCAAACAAAATATGTTTCACTTTGAAATTAAATTTGTTCAATGAAACAAATGTAAATAGAACTCTCGATTCCAAATCTTTCTTTCTATACGGAAGCAATTTTCTTGAAAATACAGATAATTCATAAAATCAGAGAAATGTACCGACTTATTTGCAACACGGATTTACTGAATATATCTCTAAATATAGTACAAAATTGTCACTTGCAGACATTCTGCACACATATAATATATATTTGTCATATATTATATGTACATATAATATATGTTTGTCGTTTGTAAACATATATTATATTTATCTACGTAGCATTTAAATTAACTTCCATTAGTTAATTACAATATCAGAAAATAACATGCCATAATTAATTATTATAAATTAAAAGAAATAAAAATTATCTTTTTGCTAACATAAGGTCATGTGCATAAATTTGATATCGTAATATAAAATACATAAATTTATTTCTGTATGTTAACAGTAATTAATAAAAACAATAATAATTCATGCTTTAATAAACATTAATTCATATATTTCGTATTAATTATTTGCAATTTAAATACTGCTGAAAATGATCAAAAACGTTTATTAAACGCATGAATTATTATTATTTTTATTAATTACTGTTAACATGCAGAAATAAATGTATGTATTCTGTCATCATATGACATATATTAAATTTATGCATACGACTATCTTGTGTTGATTTTTACAGGCAATTTTTGTTTCTTTTGTTTTATTTTCTTCAGAGTCTTAATTTATTTACATCGTATATTAAATATTTTCCTTGAAAAACTAAATATAAAGAACGCTTTATATGTTGAGAACGTGAGAGATATCCTAAAAAAAGGATGCTCATAAGTGGCAATTTAAATGCAAATATAAACCGTGCGTTCGTAAAAATCCTCATCAAAATCGTATTCAGCACAACGCAGTGTTCAATAAACGTATAAATACTTGTTTAAATTCTAATTGCAGAAATTAGGAAATTGGATTAACCTTACGAGTCGTGGAGAAGGTCAATATAAGTGTCGCAGTGTAGTCTTGACAGGAAGATTCGCGTTATAATTCGTGTACATATATGGACTCGAGTTCAATCAATGATCCAGCTCTCTAACTTTTTGCATATGCGCAGTTCTAACCGCGAGTTCGCTATAATTCACTCATTATCTACGTTCTCATTATTTGATAATTACCTGCATTGTAATCGAATGCTGTTAGTTCTACAACGAATCCATAACATGTTCACTCACAATTCCATTGAATGTGCTATTTACCATATAACCATTCTAAACAAATCTTTTTTCCAATTTCCATTAAGCGGATAATGTAATAATGCATCTACACTTAAACGAGGGTGTAAATGATAACAGAGAGGATAATAGCAGAAAGTAATAATGATTAAACTGTTATGAAAAAAAACGCGCGTATTTCTTATTTATTAGCGAAAACATTACCAAACGTATCAAAACAAAAATTATGCAAAACAATCGAGCAAGTAATCTTCGATACGTTTTTTACATAATACACGTATATTATAACACGTTATGCTCAATGCTCATATTCATCGTCAGCCCTTACATTTAAATTTCTTAAGTTCATCTTTAAATGCTCTGTAGCTAATTAAATAATTCGTAGAGCATTTGAAGATAAATTTAAGGAAGCCTTAAATATAAAGCCTGACTATAAATACGGACGTTAGTGTCTTACGTCAGTGTCCAATTCATAATTCAGTCAAGCAGCTCATTTTATAGTTCATTCCTATATCTGTATAATTCATTCCTGTCTCTGATATACTAACCGCCTACTAACAATTAATTTAGATCAAATTAATGGTAAATGACAATAGTAGCATATTTCTCGACACTCCATAAATTTAAAACATCCTAATTAACAATGTGACAACGAGGCAATATTTTAAAGTAATAAGTAAAAGAAGAATATGTAATTATAAATGATATGTAATTATAAAAATATTGATTACGAACTACGTCTTTTCGCATAGATTTTGCCTCAAATTGAAGGCTTTATTACATTTTGACAGGACGCGAATCTGACGCCGGAGGAGAAAATATTAGAGCAGATTACGACAGCAGAAACTGAGCAACGTCTAATAGCCAGGCGGAAATTTCTGGCGGAAAAATGCGCCGAGGAGGGACTCGATCGTTCTGGCAATGACTCGCTTCACAGGCCGAACGCCTGGGAATTTCTTGTAAATAAAGAATATCATCTTATATGGTGCAACGTTTTCAAAGCAGCATCGACATCATGGATGTATAACTTTAATTTACTTGCTGGGTAAGTCCCATCATCGTTTACGTAACTAAAGTTTCTTGCGGAAACGATGAAAATGAACACGACGGAGATAAAGTATAGCATGCAATTTATACCGTTGCAAATTGCACACAAAATGCAATGAAAAGATAATATTACAGATAAATATTTAATTATTTCCACTCCCCCGGTTTTTTAAATTATTATTATTATTATTATTTTCGTATGAAAAGAATCGCTGTTTCTTCTATTTCTTATCGTCAAAAATCGCTAAAATACTAACCTACTTATTGAATAATTGATTATAATTGAGAAACGATATGATGAATCATCAATCGTATTACGCTAACTTTGTAGATACAGTCCGCAATTTTTGAAGGCCTCCAAGGCAGTGCCAGTCTCATTAGCTAGACAAAGGTATCCTAGGCACAGCGCAGAAGAACTAGCTAAATATCTAAATGACAGCATCAGTTTTTTGATAGTGCGACATCCTTTCGAAAGATTGCTCAGCGCTTATCGAGATAAATTGGAGCATAGTCTGCCGCACACATTTCACAGTAACCTCGGTGCACACATAGTTTGGCACTACAGAGCAAGGGTAATGTCTTTCGACGATTTCTACAAACGATAACTATTTGGAGTCACGCTAAATAAGTTGCTCCTCATTCTTCTATAACCAAAATTGCGATTTAGCGTAATTATAAAAATAAAAATATAAAACACGAATTAATAAAAAAACATTTAATAATTTAGAGAGAAATTTAGAGGAATCAACTTCACTCGTAATACTATATAAATTCACGTTGTATTCATATATTAATTAATTTATATAAATGTGTGTGTGTGTGTGTGTGTGTGTGTGTGTGTGTGTGTGTGTAAAGTATTTTAAAATAGATTTTTGATCTCTCTCTCACATACACACACACACACACAAAAATATAGGATTCAAAGACGAATACAAGACAAGGACCGAGATATCCCCTCTTCGAGGAATTCGTACGATGGTTGTTATGCCAGTGGAGAGCAGGGAACGATCTCGACATGCATTGGACACCAGTTGTAAACTTTTGCACACCCTGCCAAGTGCGATTCGATGTGATAGCGAAATTCGAGACATTACATGTAAGTAAATTTAATCGTAAACTTCTTTATCTAACTGTCAGCATAAGAGCCAACATATGAAAAAGAGATTGTATTTATATTTTTAAGGAAGTATCCAATATTTGCAAAATATTAAACAAGATAAGCGTGTTTTGCTGAACTATAAGAGAATTGTTTTAAAACAATTGTTTTCTTGTTAAAGAATGACCAAGACTATCTCATAAAACAAGCTCACGTGGGACACATCATCAAACCCGAGTGGAAAAATCCTACTAAGGGCGTGCAAACGAAAGATGTCATAAAAAATTATTTTATGCAATTATCCAAGACACAAATCGAAGAGCTCTATGAAATGTTCAGGTACGTCTGCAGAAAGTCGAGGAATTTACATACGTGGATAATTTTTCATGTGATATAAGAGATGCAAAAGTATGTGAACAATTACATATAGCATCATAAAACGTAAAATTATCTTATCTTTATTCGTAGGTATGACTTCGTACTATTCGATTATTCGCCAGACGAATATTTAGCATTTGGTAGAGATGAAATCACCACACTAATATGTAAAAAATGAACTTGACATATCTATACTTGAGATATGTGAATATGAAATGGAATGAGACATACGACACACACAACGAAATCGTAGGTAGCGCTTAAATAAATTTGAAGGGACAGGAAGTATAATATTCGATATGTATATAGTGACGATCAATGCATTTCTTATATGGGAAAAAATGAAAGGATATATCCTGGTTTTGTAACTTACATATAAACTACGTTATCATATTGAACATTTTGATAGCGCATACGTTAAAGTTTATCGAATTGTTATACTGAAATATATTGGAAGAAATATATTAGAAGAACACAATAAAAATTTACGATAAATAATGATGCAAATATGAACACGTACAGTTCGTTGCTTGCGTACTTAAATTGTTAAGATAAATTAAATTTTTACAAATTTGTTGCTTGAAGAAAGCTTTACTGGCATATAAAGCTTTCTGTTTATTCCAAATTTTCACTCTTTCAATTATCTTCCGTTTTAATAATGATATAGATTGAGTTAGATTCTATTTATTAGTAATAAAAGTTACTAAAGCCTTTAAATAGAAATGCAATATTGACGTAAGAAAAGTCTAGATAAATTCAAAGAATTTTAGTACGTGATACACGAGATTTAAAAAGAAATTTGTAATAGTCTCAGTTTTGCATAAAACAATAAGAGTATCTAATTACACCACCAAGTTGTCCTCGACAACTGCACAATAATCTTTGTAAGCATAAATGTAGTACCACTATAACAATGGTATAGTACTGCCTCAAGAAAACATGGTGCAAAATATTATGATAACTAACTTATCACATAACATCACATTAAAATGCAAACAATTTTGTAGAGTTGCGTTGTTTTGAAAAATAATAAAACCGTATATTTCCGAGTAATTAAGACAGTGAATCAATCAGCAGTTATATTTGCGTACGTTTCGCTACAGTAGAAATCGATTAAAATAATTGGATATTTAAAGTAAAATAAAATATTTGTCTGCGTGATCGCAAAACTCAAATTAATTGAATTCGAATGACGCAAATACGTCGACGTTACAAATTTCTATACTTGCAAAATAAAACACATTGTTGAATAAAGATTATTTGTACGATATTCTGCGTATACAATTTTTATCAGTATCCTACATTTTTACAGATATGAATATACACTTTTATATCAGTATTCTTTCTCCTTGTCTCTCACCTTCGTTATTCGACAAGATTACATCGAACATAACTTCATAAATGATTTGATAAATAACTCACCAGCAGGATCTGTTGTACAATTCTACTCCAATAATCCATTTATCCTGAAGAACACATTGCCATAGTGAGATTACTTCCAATTTTTTTTCTTGGTTACTAGTGCTGCTGCTGCGTCGCTGTTTTTTTATCACAGGTACTCCTTCGGCAGTGTACATCTGTAATGTACTATAATATTATAGATATTCCATATATCATCAATTAATTGACAGTTTATTATGATATTACATTGAATACAGTGTGATTAATCCTCAAGTGCTCTCAAAAACAAAAAATAAAAGAAATTTAAGGATTTAACAATATGCCACAAACTGGCATTTCTTATTCTTTGAAGAATAAAGAGAAATAAAATAGAAGAAACCACTCAGACAAGAATTTTAATTATTTCTTGCAAAGCTCAAATATTTAATTTTCAATTTAATCGACGAAACTAAAACCAAAAAATTTTTATTGTAATTTATGGAGATTCCAAAAACACGCGGCTTTGAGAATTTAACACTAAACTAATATCTCTTTTTTTTTGGAAAATAAAAAAGAATATAAACGGAAACAAAACCATTCAGAAAAAGATTTAAATTATTTCTTGCAAAGATCAAATATTTAATTTCATTTTCAATAAAATTTTCATCGTACAAAATTTTGGAGTAAAAGTTCCGAAAATATAGTTTGCCGATCATAATAATGCACCAAATCGGAAATACGTAGGGAACTACGCGAGAGACTGTCGCAAAAATTAACTAAATCATAATATATATTATAAACATTTACTTATAGTAAATAAATATTTACTCAAAAGATGATAATTAAATGAAATCAAAGATTCTTGGAAAAAATAAAGATATATTTACATTTAGTAAATTTGGAGACACAATGTCTCTGTTTATATTTACTTAGAACTTCAACAAATATTTATTTAAATTTTTTTTCAGTATAATGTTGAATCCAGCTCAAAACCACAAAAAATTACAATAAAATCAGCAAAGTTATGAATGCCAACATACTATAACACATTAGAGACCCTATAACAATCTGGTCATAAGATGACAAATTTTTTATTGACTCATCGTTTTCAATTTCAATAAATTACAATAAAAGTATCATATATACAGTTATATGACCTTCTTTCTCACTCTCGTTTTAACGAAATTTCTCGTAGCTAAACTCGAATCTAATTTAGAAGCTGCGATTTGATCTCTCACATTACACTTTAAGCGCTTATAATCATCGTTCTGTTTTTATTGTTTATTAGACGTAAGACAAGAATAGACGAATTGAAAGCATTCAAATTCTCACGCAGCAAAGTCTACTGCATCATACTGCATGTGTATGTTGTAAATAAATATGTACTTTTTATCTATTTTAATAAACGCACTTAGTATCTTCGCTTTCTCTCTCCTCAACATCCAAATATGTGTTTATCTCATTTTAATTGCAGAAATTTTTAAGAATTCAAGCAATATAGACAGATCTAAGTAAAATCATGGAATTACCTCGTTGTCCGAGCCCGAGTTCGCATCCTCCCCATGAAGTGCGCGCCATTCCAAGGCGTTCAAAACGCACGCAATGGTTGTCTTCGTCTCGGCGATTTCGCTCGTCGTGATGTTGATCCTATCTTCGATATCGGTGAGCTGCTTCAATAGATGCTCCTCGACAGGATTCACCGGCTCGATTTGCGCCGGCAAGGCCATATCCTCGTCGCTAATAGCGAATATATCCTCGTCGTCGGACTCCATTATCTAGTCTCTGTTATCTACGCCGATTACGCCGATTACGACCTCGATTACCTACGTCTCGGAACGACGTCAAATCGGAGCACTGCGATTTTCGAGCGACGCGTTATCGCGCAACAATTTCCGGAGTAGTGAGTAAGGTCTGTTCTTTATGAAAATTACAAGAACAATCAACTATCAATGCACAGGAGTAAACTGGCGGGCTCGCCGTTGTGACAATTTTAAACTTTACAATCAGATCAGTGCAGGATAGCCACCGTAACGGCACTAGATGCATCCAGAAGCACGAGCGCTTACTGCGCGCCCAGTGAGCTCTTGTATCTGTTTGATCTATATTTCTAGATCCAATGGAATATGCCAATCAGATGCAAGAGCTCACTGAGCGCTCAGTGAACGGTCATGCTTCTGGATGCATCTACTGACTGCGTTCAGCAAACTCACAGTTAAATGAACGCTCGTTGGCTATTATTAGTGTACTGAGGATTTAGCTAGTTTCTATATTTATGTTAAATACATATTTTTTTACATCAGTTTGTGTACGATGGCTTTAATGTGCACCGCTTAAGTGCGCACTGACTGCAACTGAAAGCATCCAATTAAATTTATTATCATTACGTCTGTTCACATTGCTTGCGTCTTTTGCACTTAGTATCTTCGCTTTCTCTTTCTTCAACACCCAAATGTATATTTATCTCATTTTAAATGCAAATAATTTTCAAACAATACGAACAAACCTATTGATTGTGTTCAGTAGACTTAACAGATGAAGAGCGCTCGCTGTTACTATATTCTTCTAAATCGTCCAATCAAATTTTTAGATCTAAAAGAATATGTCAATAGCTGCGAGCGTTCACTCAGCTGTTGTTCTGCAGCCAATTACATTACCAACAATGGAAAATCATGGAGAATCTTGAGGCCTGTTCTTTTCAGCTAAACTTTTGCACCAGTTCATCTTTCTTCCTGTTCTCTTCAGGAGGAAAGAAGAAGAAAAAAGATGAACTAGTGCAAAGAGAACCAGCCAAAAAAAAACAGGCCTTCGGTCGATAATGTCAACGCTCTACAATTACCAAGTAAGAGCTCCACCTGACAATTGCCGAGAATTTGCTTACGTTTGCGAAGCGAATCCTCGAAAGACAACGTCGCCCGGTCGTCGACGGTTACGTCGCGGAAACGCTGAACGTCGCTGCTGCGGGAATCGCTTCCCTAGCAACCCATCGCCATCCGTTCATCCGCCCGCCCGCGGCCCCGCACCCGTCTATCCGCCCGTCTGTCTATCCTCTCGGCCGTTCGTTCGTGGCTCCGTTGTGGCGTGCGTGCCGTATACAGCCGGACGTCCGCTGATGAGATGTGCCTCTGCCTGTCCGTCGCAACTGCGTCGCGAGGTCTGTCTGGTCTGTCGTCGGACGGCGCGACAGCGTGAAAATGGCGGTGTGAGGAAATGGCAGGACGCAGATCGACGCTGTCGAATGCGGCGGACTCGCTGCCAGGATCGGGCGGCGGCGGTGGCGGAGGCAACGGCGGCGATCCGCTACGTGAACTCTTTGAAGCCTGCAAGACCGGCGATCTCGCCAAGGTAAAGGCGTTGGTCAACCCGAAAACGGTCAACGCCCGCGACACTGCCGGACGCAAGTCCACCCCTCTGCACTTTGCAGCTGGTGAGTCATGTTTCGAACCTGTTTCTCATCTCCGCTCTGTTCGTTCGAGAATTACTCCCTAAATTGCATCTCCGGATGTTGTAAAACTTTGGAACTCCTTGTAAACACGTGGACGATGATGGCCGAGGGAGGTTAATAAGCTAGCGAGTCACGTTCAGCTGATCGCAACTTGAACGGAGCTGTCAAGTAGTAATCATGTGCGATGACTTCCTTGTCATCAACATATGATTATTACGTTCTCAACATATGAGAACGTGCTTGACAGAGTCTTGGATGAGGGTGTCTGGAAATTTTTCCATTAAAATAAAGAAAAATAAATAAATTTTAGATAGGTTATTGAAAGAAATTCTTTACTACAGATTTTTAAAAACTCCCATTTATGAACACTAATTTTTATATTTTTTTTTGTAGTTGGCATTTATGCTGTATAATATTGTCAGGATTATTGTGAATATATAACTGTTGAAAAATAAAGTTTTATCTTGAATATATAATTGTATTGAATAATTAGTTTAAATCTTTTTAACAAAGTAATTATTTAACAAAAAGTGATTATTAATAAAATAATTATTAATAAAATTTTTAAAAATAATTTTTAAGAAAAATAATATAAATTTAATAAAAATTATATAACTGCTATGTATTTAATTCAATATGTTTGTATGTGTATAAATAGAAACTATAATTTATTAAAACTTAATAAA